TCAGGAAATTGTTTGTTTGCCCATTTATTTGTATGCTAGCGCTTGTTTTCAATCGACTCTCTAATCGCCCAATTAGCCGGAAAGTCTCCTTGTCCTGCAATATCTATCCGGTGTCCTTTAATGGCCATATTTTCAGCCATTTCCGATTTCTTATCTCATAGACTCTCGCAGGTGATTTTGTGTTCTCGTGGCATTTATCTGTAGGACCCATGTAGGATTAAAGCCTAATGATAGCCTGATCTATAGAGGGAGTAGAAAAAATGTATAAAAAAAGGCGCTACTGAGAAGAGGGTTTGTCTTTCTATTTACAATTTTTAGTGGTTTTGGCTATTCTTTTCGTAAATGATGCATATTTGTCAAATGACAGACGAAAACTCAGCACCAAATAATCGGGGAAGCAGGAGGGTGAGCCGTGGTATTCTTCACACAATCCAGCAGATGCAACTTTTTTGGTTACACAACCCTTCATCACACCATTCCACACGAAAATAAAGGCACGCCATAATCTGATTATTTGGGTGGCTACTTCGTACTTTTCTAACATAACAGAAGAAAGCTCCATACTGACGGATCGAGGTGGCTAGTAGGCGAGTCGGAGACTTCTTCGCAAAATTAACAAGTCTCCATTCCGAATGGAACCCTTGACAGTTTCCAATAAAGCCATTTATGAATTCTTTCTAACCCAATTTTTCTTCAAAATGAAATGCCGAGTCTCAAAAATCAAGTTTATTTCTATTGCTACAAACACAGATTCTAGCCTTCTCAGAAGTAGGTGAAGGCGGTATGCATTAAGATGCACCAGCTTTACAATAATATCTGTACATTTTATCACACGCTCGACTTTCACTTGATGCCAACTTGGAAGACAGAGTGATTCTATCAAAATCAGATTGAGTCAAATCAGACATTTTTTTTCACTTCTAATTATGTTTTGATACTATAAGGGTATCTTGAATAAGGCCTTTAGTTATGTCCCGGGGGTGTTCAATGGGATTTAAGGAATGATAGTAAAATCTTCCAGACTAAACTTGGTAAGTCTCAAGATTCCATTTAATTTTACCAAAACTTGTCTACCAACAGGTTTTTCATTCCAGGATGGGATCCGAAGACGAGTGGTAAAATACCACAATTCTGACCAATAGCTACTGGCACCAGAGGGCAACATGGCAGATTGACTTTTAGGGCAAGCTAGCTTTTTCCTCAATAACATTTTATGGTGGAAGTGTTGATGAGAAACTAGTAAATGCCATAATAATAACAATTATTATTATTAACATCAAGTATTTTCGGGATCAGTAGGCTTCGCAAATACAAGTCGATCTTTAGAACTGACTATTTTTCGAAACTATCAGTAATTTCCGAATGAGCGCTTGAATCTCACTAGTTGACTTGATTGTGGAGTCGGAAAGTGTTGCAATATTGGAATTAGGCTGAAACTTAGAACAAGTTGAAACTGCTGTCTAGCCTGGATGATAAAATATTTGTTGGACAAATCAAAGTGAAATTGAATGCAAAATTCAACTTTTAGACCCTCAATCATCTTAAGCGACCTAAGACGACTACAGTTATAATCTACCAACAGCTCCTGTCTTCTTTGTAGAATAAAAACATTTCTGAATTTACAAGAAAAGATTATTTTATTTAAATTCAGAGTCACAGCCTTTTTCATAATTAATCGTTTGCCATCCGTTTTTCAGTTTTACAATTATACAATATCCGATTTTCATCGTCTAGTCATGATGTCTATTCGACTAGCTTAGACATCAAGTAAATCTTTTACTTTTACAAACCATCCCTGATCGGATATATTTTAAGAAGCTTCTTTTAGTATGTTTTGAGTTCTATTCAAAAAGTCTGAAGTGTGTATTATTTATTTGAATCTAGTTTAGGCTAAAACACCACATATTTAAACCAAAATCTTCTCTTTAGGGATGCCTATGTCTATATTCTTTGAAGAACCATCTAAAACGATATAGGAAATATGATGTTAAAGAACCTCAATATTTTAATCCTGGTAATCTTAGTTGGAACCAGATGATCAGGTTTGAAGGGAATAGCAGTGGAAGTGATAACTTTATAGATGATTAGAGCCAGAAACCAACAATACGAGTGTAGAGGCATAGAGAATATTTCGCATGATAGACACGAGGTCTCAGGAAATACGATTTAAGGTAGTGGAACAAGAAGATGCTGACGATTATGAAACCGTATACCTGAATAGAGGGACTATTGATGCCCGAACCACTCAATGAGTCAATGGGGTATGACGTGGATTGCGAGGGTCAAGAGGAGGCAAGCGGATATAAGTTGTTCGAAGGGGAGTGACAAGCGGAGGTACCAATTCGGATCAATGGACCAGTCAGAAGAGGTTGTAGACCAACGATGGGGCAACTATATGCGAATAAGCCCAATTAACAGGTACGAAATCTCGGAGTTTCCAAGAGAAACTAGGCTATGCATTGTAGGAGAGAGGAGACCTAGCCAAAGCTAATTGGCAGGACAATTATCGGGCCAGGAGAAAGGGGAATGTCACACAAGTTCAACAGTAAAATGGGCAAATGGGATTTCTTTGTTTGTCTCTTGGAAAAGTTCTTGCAGCTTGAGGCTGGGGCTGGCGCCGTCCAACGACAATGCCGACTGCACTCCCACTGAAACGACAAGGAATGTACCCAGACGACGGTGCAATGTCGGAAGCTCACATGGTGGCAGTGCCAGACGATGCAGTATTAACTATCTTCTTCAAATTCATTCCAACTACACACTTAAATCGCGGAAAAAAATAGATTAAACAAACTCGTATGTTTTTAATCTTTCCTGTTTTAGTATGGCGAGAGGACGTAGGTTAGAAACCCTTCTCGGAACGAAAAATAGAAAATCTCTACCGTGAAATAGATGGTTAATTTCAGTTTTCTGCTAAAGTATATGAAAAAGAGAACCATACGCGCTCTAAACCGTTTGTTTTTTTAAAGTAGTGTATGGGACGCCAAAAATTGCTTCAAAGAAGCATTATGACACATAGTTCTATACCCGATATCTGATGGAGATGACAAGGTGTGCAGTAGCCTAAGGTCCTTCGGAAATTAGAGGGTGATATTTATTCTAGTGGATCGTATTTGGACATGTTAATGATGCCCTGCTTAAAGCAGTGCCACTTCTTTAAGACCAGGCGAAAGTTCACCCACGAAATTCTTGATGTTAAAGCTAAGTTACAAGAACGTCATTAAAAATAAGGTGTGTATAACTGTTAATTTATTTATTTTATGCTAGTTGTATTCCGTTTTTATTTGCTCTCTTTATTTTTTTTCAATTTTATCTATTTAGTTACTTATTTGCTTGTAGATTTGGTTATAGTTATAATGGTCATTCTTAATTGTCAGCAGCACATGCGATTCCTTTCATGCTCAGGTCTGGATGTCTATGCTTGGTGCCTACTTGGTTGTCAGCATTACGCTATTCTTCATTGGTCGCATCACCCCATATGAATGGTATAGACGGCATCCTTGCAGCCCCACAATCGAGAATCAGTTCACGCTGCTCAACAGCTTCTGGTTTACGGTCGGCTCCCTCATGCAACAAGGTAAGTCTGGAATAATTTTCTTACTCTTATCTCCAAACCATGCTCAGAGGAAGGTTTACGTTTCAACAGCAACTAAAAAAGACTTTTGATAGTGCCCTGAATATGAGGAAAGTAGAAATATTAATGCAGGACTTGGTCATTTTAAAAGCACAGATTCAACACTCCGAATTTTTTAAAGTCCATTCTTAAGGGAAAGAACATTACCGCTTAGCAAAATCTCGTAATCTCTGGGATAAGTTGCATAATGCAAAAAGTGTTTTTAACAATTGAATTACGACAAGCAAATATCTGTTAATTAAGTATAATGTAAGTTTTCTCGCCAAGCTAGGAAATACGAGTTAACAGAATGGCTTTTATATAATAAAATTAAAACAGATAACGTTCTCAGAATGCCTAAGGCTCGAATGACTAATAAATTTGGCAGAATAATGAGATTATTGTCCCAAAATGTCTCAGATACATTGATACACAAAAGAAAAAAGGCCGGTCTTGCCCTGGGCGCAGTTTCGTGAGTACAGAAACATTTGCAGTTCATAGTCACCTTGTTGTAACTTTAACTGTTTTGTATACCTTAACGCCTTACATTATGTTTCTGAGCTAA